CTGAACTTAACACTGTAAGTGAAACAAGGCATTTCTTGAGTTTCTGTAAATTATGCTATAATACATATAAACTCTCATTCCAGAAAACAACAACAATGACAGCCTTCATGATGGACAGACATCATGGACACCACAGCAAGCAGCTGTCTTCACTGAAAGATCCTTAAATGATCGTCAATGACATGAGGCCTCTGTCGATGGTTGAAGACGAAGGCTTCACTACAATGATCCACACTTTTAATCCAGGTTTCAATAATCCACACTTTTAATCCAGGTTACACTCTTCCCTCAAGGACACATTTTACAAAGTAACTACATATTGTGCAGGTATAAAGCATAAAATTTACATATATTTTTGTGTACATTTATTTTTTAAGCTATTTGACTAACTTTTATTTTTTTTATTCAATATTTTACCAACAGAATAGTCAAATAGCAACCTTTTTTTGTGTGAATTGCTATGTCAGTCAAAATGTCCAATTTTGGAATAAAGGGGTGGAAATTAACCCCCCCCCCCCCGATTCATCTATTAATCGAAAAAATAATCGACTGATTAACAGATTATTGAAATAATCGTTAGTTGCAGCCCTACTACAATGCGAGAGTTGGTGGTTCGAATCCACCAGCAGTCACATACTGAAGTGTCCTTGGGCAAGAAACTGAACCCCTCATAGCCTCTGATGTGTGTCCCATCAGTGTATGAATGTGATCTAAAGCACCGATTAGTCTCATTAGAATGATTTTTTTCAATTAAATTTGTAGAGATCTAGTAGAGTGCTGTATGAATGGGTAAATGAAGACAGATTGTAGTGTAAAGCGCTCGTGAGTATCTTGAAATAAGATAGAAAGGCGCTATGTAAGTACAGTCCATTTATCCTTTGTTTTACTTTTGACTCCAGTGTGCACCCAATATTATTCCAACAGTTATATCTCAGTGAAATATCATCTAATATGTACCAGATTTTTTGTGCGTGATCAGTAATCATTTATAGACACATTGATATTGTTCTTTAACATTTGACTCAAGTGCGCCACCTAGATTATTTCAACAGTTATATCTCAGTGATACATCATCCGATCTGAACCAGATTTTTTGTGCATAGACACACTGGTATTGTTGATTCATGACTTATCTTAAGCCCGGCCCACTCAGAGAAAATATTGATGATTATTGGATGACTCTTCCAGCTTGGCACTGTAGCGTCCATGCTTCCAAAAACTTAAAACAAATGTCCTCAGAGACACCACGTCTACCCTACCCCCTCCTTTCCTGCTAATCTGGGACAGATACTGGCATCCTGCTCCATCACAGGAAGTTTCTTTGTTAACCTTTTGTGTGTGTGTTAAAAACTACAGTTGAGACCACCTTGACATGTTACATGATTCTGGACCCCCTTCGTATAATTCACCTTTTATGCTGAGTCACCAGACTCTAGCTATGTTTACATTTGCAGAATTCTTTGACCGGATTGAAATGTGTTCTGTTTGAATAATTCAAATGTATTGTTTACATGGGCACAATCTGTTCATGATGAGCGTTTACATGCAGCGGGCTTTGTTCTGAACAGCAGTACTGACAGGCGCAGAGTGGTCAACTGTCCTTAAAAAAAAAAAACACCGAAGAAGAAGTTCTACTTACGGGGTGAAAGTAAACAAACCTGAGCACCCAAAATGGACCCGCAACAGGTTTTAATGACGGTGGAGACGTTACTGCACTCCCTGACTGAGCTACAGGTAATACAGATCATTTTGAGCTCTTTCAAAGTTTCTAGTAGAAATGTTGTGTCGCTCACCGACCAGTTTTGCTTCCCTGACATGCTAATATTAGCGTTAGCCAGGAGGAAATGACAAAGTCGCACATGCGCACTCAGGTGAGTTTTTCACGATCAGATAAAAACAGATCAAGCGTTTACATGCGCACCGATCGGGTTTCGGATCGGCGTAAACCACCCGTTTCGTTCTGATCACAAATTATATCGGATCGCGCTGAATACACAAAAAATAACCCGAACGGAGTGTTTACATGACACACTTTTATTCCGACCAGCCATTTGATCCGGTTACTTATGTCCATGTAAACATACCCTTTGAGACTCCTGAAGAAGGGTCTTGATCAAAGAGCTTTACTTGGCCTTATCAACAGAGACTGGTCACCATGACAGTAAAGGAAGTTAACCCCCCAGTTGAAGTTCTGATTCAAAGAAACCCATTTTGTTTGTATCAGCATGGTGTCACACATCCTTAACAAAGGGTCATTGTATTATATTCTCTGAAGAACTTTGAGAAGGGAGATTTTAATTACATTAATTATACAGTGTGATACTCCTACTGTAAGATGCCCTCTGATTGGTTAAAAGTTAAGGGGCCCGTCTTCCTGGTGCCAGGTATACTGAACACCAGGGGAGTTGTGAGATGGCAGCCGATGAGGAAAGTTGGCTTTGGATCATCAGCTGAGCTGAGCAGATGGAATGAGTGGTTGGAGAGTTGATGAGACTCTCTGAGAAACAACAGCCATATGATGGAAGACGTGTCCAGCTGAGAGATGGTGGACATCCTGAACAATTTCAAACACCCTGGAGCTAAAAGGTACGAGCCGAACAAACCGCAGCCCTGAGAAACGACATCCTTATTGGGACAGCGGGCCACCGGCTTCCTTCCACCCTGGAGCTAAAAGGTACGAGCCGAACAAACCGCAGCCCTGAGAAACGACATCCTTCTTGGGACAGCGGGCCACCGGCTTCCTTCATGCATCCGCTGTGGTAATGAGAGATGAACATCTTCCTTCTGATGAGAGGACCACTGAACAGTGCCAACTAAGTTTTTTTTAGATAATTTAATTCATAAATCTGAGATAAAAATACCTAAATTTTAACGTTAAGAGCTAGACCTTAGTCCAAATTGAATCAAAACCCCTTCTCAAAGTCCTCAGATTTATGCCATTTACTTTCTAAAATAATATGATTGGTTCATATTCATATTCAATATTTGCCATAATTTCCATGTCATAATTCAAACTGAAAATAAACATTACAGAACTGTATTTAAATTACGGATTCTTCATGTTTTCTTCGAGGGACAGGAATTAAGTTCATTACAAGAACTCATAGTTTTATATATGTTTGAGGTGAGGCCGGTCCAGGTAAAACCTGTTAAAGGGAAGGAGTTTGACCGGACCAGAAATCCAATATCCTGCACATGTATTCCCCTACAGCACTGTATAAGATTTAAGACTGAAACCGTATTCGCTAACTGTTGATTACCACATATGACATGTTGAAAAGCCTAAAGGAAGTCCTTTACATTTGTGACAAAACAAGAAGTGACAATAACTCCCTTCTGGAAGGTCAGATTTTAGCAAAACTTGTAAGGCTTGAAGCCGGACTCATTCTGATATGGGCGGGAGGTGATTGCAAAGTTTCGGCATATGCGCACCCTGGTGGAGGCATGCAGGAATGGCCTGAGAGCGTTCGCGATGGCAACTTGGATGCGTTGCTGGAGCTCCCACGGACGCGGGTTATGTCAAACGTTTGGCGATTGCGTACCCTGGCGAACAAGTGCAGGACGGGTGCGAGATCGGGCGTGATGGCGACTGGGCAGAGTTGCTGGAGCTCCTGCGGTTGCCGTAAGGCCGGAGCGGCGCTTTGCTGCAAGGGCCTTCAATGCTGCTTGCAGCTTTAATTTTATTTTTAACACAACAAGCTGTTGTGCTAAGCAATGGTGACACTGAACTGCATGTTTAAAACTAAGAATATTAACTTTACCCGTTGAACATTTTAATTATCACAAACATTGAATGTAGGGGGACTTTTTACGGTTTTCTGATTTAGTTATAGACCTACTCATAACAGAAAATGGCCTGGCATCATGCAGCCTACACAACACTAAACTACACTGTGCCAAGCAAGAGACAAAAAAAACCAAAATCATTTTTGTCATTTTTGTCAACCTGCAAGTAATTATGAAAACAAAATAATTTACAGGTTCCATCCTATCTTGGTGCCTCAATTTCTACACTTCATAAATTCCCCTTTCCGTCACAATCCACTTGGAATAACGTCCATCTCCTTCTGCAATCGTTTTCCTTTTGACTGTTCCTATCCCATGACTGATTTTAACAATTTTACTTTCCAGAAAATGTGTTATTTGGCTACTTTCTCCTCAACGTGATCTTTCTACTTCAAGGTGTTCTCTATAACTCCATCAGCTGGACTCTTCCAATCTTAAGGCAAAATCTTGCCGCTCACAATACAGATGCGCTAGCCAAGATGCTACATGCTCAGTTTCCCTCACACATCCTAACCCCCCCCACACACACACACACACACACGCTGGTCAACAGCTGACGTCACTAACATAGTGGTAAGCTAACGCGCAACACAGAGGTGTCTCCCCCTCCTCCCACCAACCCAACAACAAACCCCTCCCAAAGAGATGAGCACTTGCTACCTGCTAAGCTAAATGACAGAGAAGGAACGCTGTTTCTTAAAGGGAAATTATGCCATCCAACGCCCCTCAGACCTTGATGGTGGGTGGGGTGTTCAGTTCGGTGCTGGCAGCTGTTGAGGGAGCTCGGTTCTGTTGACAAGGTGTGTGTGTGTGGGGGGGGGGGGGCACCCTGATTATATAATGGTAGGGGAAACAATGTAGTTAGTCAGCTTCATAGCACCACTGAGCAAATTTCTCATTGCTAGTTTAATCGTATCTCCTCAGGAAACTAAAAATAAGCTGAATCTGCATTACAGTACAAGACCTAGTTTGGTTTTCACCCAAAGAACAGATGTTTAACACTAGAGCCACATTAGAAACAGTATTTTTTTTCAAGCTTGCCGTTGTCTTGCGATTATTAAAACCCTGAAAGACAGGGAAAAAACAACATGCTAATTTTTTTGCTGCCACAATTTAAATATTTCAGAATGAACAAATGCCAACATATAAATTATATAAACAAAAATGTGTAATTTTGCATAAAGCATACTGCTGACTCCTGTAAAGGAACTTACTAGGACCAGCAAAGCCAGGCACTGCCGTAGACGGCATAGTCTCCCTTCTATAGTCCCTGTCCTTAGGGAAACTGTTGACAACAGTGCTCTTTGTTGCTTCTTTTTGTCTCTGTTCTCTGTAAACACAAAACAACACTGACATTAGTCATACGTGGA